TCTTAATACAACTGTTTTCCTTTTCTTCTTTTTAATGTAAAGTAATACTTTGGGGAGATAAACATGTGGCAGAAATGAGGGTATGAGTACTTGATAGGGCTCAGGAAGAAGTTCATTATAAATATACCACAAAGCCTCCTCATCAGAAATTCACAATCTAGCAATTACAAGATACATGGACAAGTTTGTCAATAATTTTAGTAGAGAGGGACTGGCCTCCTACTTGGACAAATATGTTGTCTTGAAATAGACAAGATAAATACCAATTACTTTATTTTGAACTATCTTTTTCATATCACAGATTTAACATGTATGAAAACAGAATTTTCTGATTTTCTACTAATGCCCGTCCCCAACAGTATCATCCCCAACAGTATCATCGTTTAGAGCCCCTTTTACCTTCTGACTATTCATCCATCCATTTATTCATAACAAAATTTTCAGTGCCATCTTCACCTCTGTTCTCTTTTCAATACTGATAATATAAAATGAATCCTTGTTATACCCACCTTCAAAAATCTCTATCGTTTTGTTCATCTCTTTATCTAAGTCACCAAGTCTCTCACGTGTGCTGCTGAGTCACCTTGGTCATTAAACTGATCTCCCTTTACATTTCCTCCTTAACTCAGAAGACAAAGGCATTCTTTAAAAATATGTAAAGTGATTATTTCACTTCTCTGCTCAGAGTAACTCGAGTGATTCACTAAGGTCCATGGTATTGCATGGGATCTGTCTTGTTTCTGTAATCTCCTGATCTATACTGACCCCAACATTATCATAGATCTTATATTTGTTTCATTCTTCAATGCTATAAAATTTACCCGACTTGAATAAAGAGACTTTTGAGAAGATTTCTGGAATGGGGATAATACCATCTATCAAACCTTGAACATTAAGAAAATTAAACTTATTTTATATTTTATTTTAAGAAAAGTGTACTACTGGGCAACTTTCTCACATATGGACCACCTAACAAGTTTATTCTTAGCTGATCTTGGTATAGGTATCTGGTTACTTCTTGAGCTGATGGTGGAAGACCTTTACATTTTCCATGTAACACTAGTTTTGCAGGCATGTAAAATGCAGTCTATGGGGTCATGAATGTGTTTTCTCAGACTTCAAAGTAAAGGCTGACAGATGAGGCAATTTGTGTCAAGTTTAGGATTCCTGTAAGTTGCTCTTGAGAGAATGGTGAATGAAACTATGAAAGTAAAATGTTAAGACAATCTAGAGAGACAAGGATGAGCGAGATGGCAAACTGTGAAACATCTGCTGAAGAAAGTCACAGGTAATGAGAAGAGCTAGTTCAAATGGCCATTATTATTATAATTCTCAAGATATAGGGACTGTGGCTCACCCTGTATTATCACATGAATCTACATGATTTAATACTATCTCTACCAGGTTTTGGTTTTGGCATTGATTCAGCCTTTCATTGCTATTTTTCTATTCTTCCATTTTGTAATGAGAATGTTACCCAGGAATATTTCATCTTAAAATTATACAACTTTCTTTTTGCATTTCCAGATGTTCATACCTAATTTTTTCCCTTGAGTCACAAAGAACACCCTGAAGTTGGATCTTTTAGACTCTTCAAAACAGTATTAGAAATTATTCGTCTATAAAGACTTGATTATCAAGTTGATTGAAGTCAAAAGTAATTAGGAAATTACTGTTGTAATTTATGTAATTAGGAAAACACAAATGTGGGTATGTTGGGACACTTCCTGAGAAAGCTAACTAATAAGAGAAGTTGGTCTCAACTTAAACATGGCTGCCATAATCTCAAGAATTGTGACCTTAAACTGAATAAAAACAGAGACAATATAGAAATAGCATGCTAGCTTAGGCATTCTCTCTTGATTGTTGAATACCTGTGAGCCTTTCTGCTCCACCACATTGTTTGAAATGTTTTTTACTTTCATGGCTTTTTTGCTCTTTTGGTTTTTTGACTTTTTGTGGGACCTACCCCCACCTCCCAAATAAAAACACAAACACATGGAGTCTTTTTTTTTTTTTTTTTTTTGGTTTTACGAGACAGGGTTTCTCTGTATTGTTTTGGAGGCTGTCGGTCCAGCCTGACCTCGAACTCACAGAGATCTGCCTACCTCTGCCTCCCGAGTGCTGGGATTAAAGGTGTGCGCCACCACCGCCCGGCATGGAGTCTTATTATTACTTTTACTTATGAATATCTGGCCCTAGCTTGTCTTGTTGCTAGCCAGTTTTTCTTCTCTTAAATTATCCTATCTACCTTTTCCCTCTGGACTTTTATCTTCCTTCTGTGTATTTTACTTTCCTTCTTACTCTGTGGCTAGCTAGATGGCTAGCCCCTGCCTTCTCTCCTCCTTATTCTCTCATTGCACCTGCTAGCTTCCTTGTTGCTTCTTCTATTAATAGTCTCTCTGCCTGCCAGTCCTGCCTATCCTTGATCCTGCCTCACTATTGGCCATTCAGCTCTGCATTAGACCATCAGGTGTTTTAGACAAGCAAAGAACCACAGCTTCACCATGTTAAACAAATACAGAATAAACAGACATCACACACCTTAAAATAATATTCCCCAACACCACCATGCTTTATCATCATACAGGAAGATTTCTGTAAGACTCCTAAAACTGTAAACAAAATTCTTCCCTCATGAAAATAAAACTATTTTAATTTTTCTCTTGTGATGTCCTAATTTGATATGTCATGGAAAAATTCAATATTCATAGGACATAAATCTGCCTTAAAATACATGTAAGTATCATCAGTTCTCAATGTGAAAAGACAGGAAATATGTTCATTTAACACTACCTTAGAACTTATATCTTCATGTTCAAACTAAAGTAGTAACTAATACCAGTGAAAGGTCCTAGCCTGGTTGTGTGGTTCAGTAAAGAAAGCTCTTGCTGCAGGTAGGTGAAATGAAGACCAGAATTCAGATCCCTAGAATCTACTTAAAGCCAGCTGCAGAGGTGATCTCAGTTTACCTATAGTGAGATGCGAGACAAATAAAAGGGAATCTCTGAGAATTTGTAGGCCTCTTGGGAATGCAGTGGTGAATAAGAGAATAAGAGACATGATTATGTGAACATTCTCACATTCACACACACACACACACACACACACACACACATACACACAAATACACACATACATACACACACATACAGAGAGAGACAGAGACAGAGAGAGAGAAAGAGAGAGAGAAAGGGAATTCAAATAATTCAAACAGTCCTTTTTGTCTAAGGTTTTTTTGTTTTATGCTGATTCAGAAAACTCAATTACAAACACTTTGGAGAGCCAGCAACCTCAAGACTGAATTTGACCCTGTAAATTGTTGTCGTTTCTTAACAGGATTTAAATGATAACCAGACAGTTAAAGCTATCCAAGTAATGACTCTATCCCAAGTCTTTTTCTTATATATCAGCTCCTTCCATGCTCTAAACCACTGTCAGATTAGAGGGGGAAAGGGGACACCACTGAGACTAGGGCTCAGCAGAAATGACAAGGAAGAACCATGTCTTAAGTAGACTCCTGAAGGGTCAGAAATTTGGATGAGCAGAGAGGAAAGATGAAAGCCTTCTTAAAGCAGTGTCAGCATGACTCCATGCAGTGAGTACAGGGTGTCAGACACCTACTAAGAACACTTCAAATCTATAAGACAACAAAACACATACACGAAACAAGGCAAATAAAATAAAGTGAGTTTTACAAAATGATTTGAAATAAAGTTTCAGGAAAGACAAAAAAAGATAAATAGTAGAAGTAAGATTTTAATGAGTAGAAAATGTTTGAGGACATTCTAATCATGGAAACTATTTGAATGTAACATCATTCTCTAAAAGGATGCCTGGTTCAAAATCAGAAATAGATGCAGAGTATGGAAGATAAAAGTGAGAGCTGTGTATGAAAATATAACATCTTAATAGCTGAGATCAAGCACCAGTTAATTTACTCTGAAATGGATGAAAAACAAGTATCCTTCTCACATCCATGTCACCAATTCTCCTTTCTAAACACTCTGATCTTTTTATTGCTGTCATTTTAATATTTGTTTTCAATTTTTTTATTTTAAATAGCTTGTTTTACATGTCAATCCCAGTTCCCTCTCCCTCCCCTCCTCCCGCACTCCCCTTTCCCCCCCACCCTCCCACCCTATTGCCAAATCCTTCCACATAGGGGATATCAGAGTCTGTCATTTTACTCTGGGTAGGGTCCAGGCACTCCCCTAAGAGTCCAGGCTGAGAGAGCATCCCTCTTTGTGCTATAGGCACACGAAGACTGTTTGTATATCAGGGATAGACACTGATCCACAGCTCAGGGCCCCATAGGTTGCCCAGGCCTTCTCGCTGACACTCACATTTGGGGGGTCCAGATCAGTCCCATGCTGGCCTCCCCACTGTCAGTCTGGGATCCAAGAGCTCTCCCCTGTTCAGATCAGCTGTCTCTGCTGGTTTTGCCAGCCCATTCTTTGCCATAGTCATTACACACGCAGGGCATCTCGGAGGGAACCCAAGAGCTTACTGATGCTAGTTGATATTTCTTTTTCTCTCTCTACATTGATCCCAGAGTAAGACAAGCATATTCTTAAATGTCTAAAGTAAGCATTGCACTTTTAATAAGTTCTAGGTAAATTTATTCAGCTTAATTCCCTACTGACTCCTGACCAACTGAATCTGAGGCAATGCAAGTTCTAAGTCTAACAAGAGGGATTTCTGTGCAAGTAATTACAAGTTGCAACACAATTTCCTTAAAACTACACACATGCTGTGCAGATACTTATTTGTGGTTATAGGATGGGCAAAGTTGCTAAAAAAAATAGTGCACCTTATAAATAGTGTCATATACCATAATTTACCTTTGCTATATCTGAAGTGTCATGTCATGTTCCAGACTTAATATTTAGTAACTAACAATTTGATGTGCAAATACACAACCTGAGCAACAGAATAATTTTAACAGACAAACCACTATTTTTTAAATTAAAAAAATATAATGAACCATGCAAAACACCAAAGGTATAATAGACTTATATTCTTGAAAAATACACAGAAAATTTCAAGTACCTTACAAACCAAGGAGTTAAACTCAGAAGAGAAATAATGATTGATAAATGATAACAGATTGTTCTCACACCCGTGAATGCAGGCAATGTGTGATCAGACTGCATTATATACACATGTGATTTACCAAAGAACATATTTTATAAAATAACATAAGCATACTCCAAATTAATGTAAACATATTCTCAAAAAATAATCAAAATCAGCTAATAAAAATGCAGTAAAAACCCATCCTACACGCATCCTACATATTTCTTTAGCTATATGTTCTATTGTTCTGTTTCTCCTTCCTCAAGAGATTCTTCCCTAACCCATAGTCACTCTATACCTAACCACCTTGTGGTTTACAGATTTTAGTCTGCTTTACACATAACCTGCTCATTCTATTTAATGTTACTTGTATATATGTTTTGAAGACTGATTATTTTGTATTGTATAACTTTTTTGGTGTGTTCTTCCCTGGGGAATACTAGGAGATTTTTTCCATTTTCAGTATTCCTCAGTTGCCTGTCATTCTTCATGTTGGGTTGAGGCCTCATGGGCTTTCTTATATCCACTTTGGCATGCCTATTGTTGTTGGCTTTGTTCAGGTCATGTTTAAGAAGTCATGTTGGTGAGACTTTATAGGGGTAGCTTCTGGTTTACTAGCAGATGTAATCTCACAACAAGCTTCCTGATTCTCCGTTCTTACAATTTGTCTGCCCTGCTTCTGCAATGTTCCCTGAACCTTAGGTATGGGAGGTTTTTTTTGTAAATGTATCTTTGGTATTGGGCTCCACTACTCTGGATTTTGATTAGCTCTGATCTGCAGTGTTTCCATCAGTAGCAAACAGAATTTTCCTCGATGAGGGTTGAAGACTATAATTACCTGTGGGTATAAGAACAAATACTTAGAATTAGTTAATGATTGTTGTTCAACAAACTGTCAAACATTACAGCATGTTACTACTGCCCTTAGTTGGTCGTCAGAGGTACAAGGCAAGTTCCTACTACTGAAGATATCATGTAACTTAGATGCAGGACGCAGAGGCTCCTGAGCAGGAATTTACCTAAATGCCTCCTCTCTGAAAACTGGCTTTAAGGCACCTGAAGGTACAAGGCAAGCTTACTAAGAAAGGAAGCAATCAGCAGTACCACCCATCTAATGAACCCCTAAATTGCCTAGCATGGAATAATAATTCTACAAATGCAGTAGTGGTACACAGACCTTGATAATAACTAACAGCTCCCTGATTGAACTTAAAATTCATTCAACAAGAGGAAAACTATTCCTGTTACAGGAAACCTAGTCAGCTTCCCAGGGCTAGGTAAGTCATGGATCTTGAAGGAGAACCTAAAATAGTCATTTTATAGTCTTTTATAGTTGAGAAGCTAAGAAGGAAAAAACTGTGTGGGGAGATTACTGAAAATATTTTACAGTAAAAGGAGTCCTGATATGTTTCCAACTATATCCTCCTAATATTCACACACAGGGCAATTGTTATACCCAAAACTGTTCTTGCTCACTGGCATAGCATCATTCATTCTCCATCCCCATCCTGGCAATCCCTCAAGTGGTACCTCAATGGTGCTTTATTCTTCCCCCTCATCTTCAAACATATGGAGTCTCCTCTTGTAATCTCATTGGGCTTTCTTCCATCATTCCTGTGCTTGCTTTACATAATTTTGTATTCTTTTGTGTATTTGTCCCATTCAAAATACTTAAATCTTGAACTTACATTTAGCACTATTTTTATTCCTGGAACTAAGTATTTGGATAAACATTAGTCAAATACAGATGCATGAATTTAAATAAAAATTTGGCAAGCAGTTCTCATTATTATAAAAAATATCAACATATTTCCCTTGTTTAGGGAGAGGAATATGAAAACATGAACCTACAGTCTGGCACATGCTAAGCATACATTCCACTATGGAACTAGACACTTAGTCCCTGTTCTCAATTTTATTTAAAAGTGGTTTAAATTATCTATCAGTGCTCTAATAATGGCACAAATTAAACTAATTATAGCACAAATTAGGCTAATATGACTAAGAAAGCTATAATAAAATTAAGGATCTTATTAGTTTTGCTTGAATACTTTATCATAATTTTTCACCACATCTATGAAGAAAAGTTCTTTTAAATTTTATTTTTAAACTATATTCACAAGCATATAATAGTCATTGAGATGACATAATAGCCATAAACTTGATCACATATCATTAATTATAGGTTCCTTTTTGGTTAGCAACTCTTTAGAAAAGCAAAAAATAGCAGACTTTAGTCATATAATTGAAGAATATTATCCATGTTAAGAAAATTTATTTAATGACAAACCATTTTTTCTTTAACTATTTGATACATGTTTATTCTAAAAAGAGACAGGGTATTACAAGTATTATTCATGAAATTAACATTAATTTATTTAAAAAGCTCACAAAAATGTATAGCAACAGACCAAAAAAAGCACACAAATAGCACTGACTGCATATAAAATACTCATCTAAGATACGTTTTACACATGCTAGCACATTAGACTTCTCTGAGACTGAAGCAGCTACTGTTGTTAATATTTTCCTTTGTAGTTGAGAAAGCTGGAGCTCGCCCAGGCTGTCTTTCCTCATGCTGGGGTTTAACACTAAACCTAGAATCAAGCAATCAGAATCCATGCCATATGGAAGAGATGTTGTCCTCTTCACTCTTAATTTGATCAAACTAAGGCTTGGCAGGCAGAAACAGAATTGGGAGTCATCTGTTCTATTTAATAAAGCTTGCTTTGTATGGGCATAGTTTTGTTCTAGTGGTCTTTTCCTTGTAGATCATCGTTTACAATATGTGTTTTGTTGCAATGTGTTTGTTTGTGGCCATGTGTGTGCAAGATGTTGTGCTTCTTGCTCTTGTTCTTTCTCTTTCCTTTGATTTTCTTTTATTCTTGTTTGTTTTCTACAGCAAGAGATAGTAACAGCATAGAGTGGGTAGGTAGGCGGGGTCTTAAAATTGGGGGAGGAGAAAAATATGCATCTATATATTTTTCAATATTTCTGTATATTTATGTACATCAAAAATGAAATAAAAGACCTATAATTCAAAGAAAAAATAAGTAAATAAGCATTGTACCACAGACTGAACTCTGAATGTAAAACAAACTAGTGGATCAAACTCTCCACACTATTTTAAAAAGTACTACATTAAGATAGGGAGGGGTTTAACAGATGGTTCAGTGATTAAGAGCACCGGCTGCTCTTCCTTATGACCCAGGTTCAATTAAGAGCATCCAAATAGCAGTCTACAACTTTTTGTAACTCCAGCTCCAAGGGTTCTGACACCTTTATAAAGACATATATGCAGACAAAACACCAATGCATGTAAAATAAAAATAAATAAACTATTTTTTAAATGTGAAGGGATAAACATGTAACTGCAACCCTAAGAGCTTACCTAGCACACAAAGTCCTGAGTTCAAATCCCCAGCAGAGTATATACTGGTGGGTGTGGAGATGCATGCCTACAATTCAAGAATTCACTGGGAAGTCAAAGCAAAGGGGTTAGAAGTTTAAGGTTTTTCTGGAATGCATATAAAGTATGAAGCCAGGTTGGGTTATATGCAATCCTGTTTCAAAACATAAAATTAAGGGAGAAAAGGAGGGAGAGAAGTCAACAAATCCATACAGTAGTTCATAATTCTGCTTATATTTTGTATATTCTGCAGGTCCATCTCATAGTCATACAAACTTCTGTATTTGTCATTAGAAGCCTTAAGGAATTAAAATTAATTACTACTTTTAAAAATGATTGTCATATAAATTAATGAGAAACATTTTCAAACATGTTTTTGTACTTGATTATTCTTTAGGTAGCATTCTTGCATTTGGATATACTCTGTGAATATAAATATGTTCACGAGTTACTTCAAGTTCTTTATGTCTTTTTTCAAATGGAATATTATTCACTACTCTGCTTGGTGTTAGATGTTTTTCTGTGCAAATGGGCAATTTCCATGTTCAACTTCAATGGATTCCTTCTGATGCCTCAAAATAAATCAAATTATACAGCAAGCAGGGATATCACTAAGGCTTATGTAAATAAAAATATAAAAAATTAAATATAACCTGTCATTTGCCTTGTGACTATTCAGAGTAAAACCATTCATGTTGTTCCAAATAAAATGCTTGAGGATCAGAACTCTTTACTGAGCAGTGGGTAACTGAGAAAGAACATTTTAACAGGGGGAGAAAAGGCCCTTTGAAGACCTGTTCAGTCCCATTTCCCAGGATTCCTCTTTGCTTTCCCATGTCCCAGACCCACTAAGAATGACTACAGGACTTTCTTTCATCAGTTGGTGAGCCACTGAGAGTGACTTCAAAGTGGATTGTTACAACAGCGCTCAGTAGTCTGCAAATATATACAGAATAATATGGAAGCTGCTCGGTGTGGGGTTCAAAGAAGCTTTCAAGCAGGGAAGGTCAAACGCAGAACAGCTCAAAGCAGTTTTGTTCTGTGTTTTTCCCCAAGCACCATGATTTATCAAGGAGCTGTTTTTGAAAATTTTGTACCCTTCCTTCTGTAATTTTATCCTCATCTCCTCTCAACTCCGAACTGGCCAATACAGAATCTTGAAATCCCCTTTTCGTCTTCCTCAGGAGGCTTGCAATAATACAAGAGACTGCAGGAAACACTGAGCCATTAAGAGCATTTGTTGCCCTTCCAGAGGCCCTATGTTTGATTCCCAGCATTCACATTCCCGCCATCATAACTTCAGTTCCAGGGGATCTTACACCCTCTTTTGACTTACATGGTCACCAGGCATGCATGTAGTGCATATATAAACATGTAGGCAACATATTCACACACATAAAATAAAGAATTCTAATTATGTGATCATGGTGACATATAGCAATGGATTTTCCAGCTTCCAGGGTTCCTCCATACGTTTTTAAAGAACAGAAACCAACAATCAAAAACAAAGGAAGCATATTTGTGTAAACAGTTAAATTCATTGCACAAAGGAAATAGTAAATAAATGTTTTAAGTGATATAAAAGAGAAGTAAGAGAAGAAAAAACAAGGAAGGCAAAGAGGAAAAAACAAAGGGGGGAAATGCCCACTGAGATTAATATGACTGATAAAATATGTATTTCTTATTAGATTTGATACAATATGTTTATCTGGCTTCATTTTTTCACTCTCTATCTTTATGCTCATTTCTGTTCTCATTTATTGTTATCAAACAATAGTCTTTTCTTCTACCTTGCTATCACCAAAATTATTGCATGGACCACATGAACTTACAAGCTGTAAGCTAGCATCCTGCAGCTAGTCATTTCAAATCAGTCTGACTCCAAACCATAAAAAGACATAAAAACAGAAATAGGAAAACAATTTAAAGTCAATTTGGAAAAAAAAAACTTGATCATAGCCATAACTGAAAGTGACATAATATCCCCCTAACTCTCTTCTCCTGTACTCCACCTCTTCCCTTCCCACCCCAAACCACTCTTCCAAACCAGGTCCTTTGAATGTGAGTGACACTCATGTGACTTGATCTGTTGTGAGGGGGTTCGAGGCTAGCAGTGGGACCAGGTCTTGTTCCAGATTGGTAAATTTTTAAACGTGCTAACAAGGCCATTTTTTCAACGTTTTTTGAGACTTCAGTCCTAGCCGTAATATTTTAAGATAGCAGTTATTTTCTTGAAATGTATAATCAGCTTGTTGAAACTGCAGGTAAATATGTGACCTAGGCTGTCTCGTGATAAAGCATGTCATGTATAAGCAATTATCCCTTGCCTTTGGAGTGTCTGGCATAGCAGTCTAGCAGTGGAGACAGACAACAAGCAGATAGACACATAGACATATGGAAGGAAATTGAGATAAATAGAGGCAAGAGAAAGAGGAAGACTTTGCAGAGATGAGAAGAAAGGATAAAACACATAAAGACAAAATACAGTTTTAAAGTGATCAATCAAAAACGTATAGTTTGTGTTCCTCATTAATATTAAAAATGCAGAGGGTTTTACACAAAAATAAGAATATTACCATGGCAACAGTAAAACTGCAAGCAACGTTTAAGGCTTTTTGAGCACAGGCCATCATCCATAGTCAGAACTGATTGTTGAACAGACATTTCTTCACAATTCCATATGTATTCACAAGTTACACTGCAGAAAGTGTCCTTGCATTTTCATTCTCTTTCTTGGTCTCCAGGGAGAAAGCAAGCAATAATTCTAGTGGATAACTCTCTGGGTGTTTATGGCCACCACTTAGAAGAGCCAGAGAAAAATGCCGACAAATCACCATGAATGGAATCTTCAATGAAACTGCTAATATGCATTATGTACATTTTGTGTGTCAGTATAGCATAATAAATTCTTTCTAGAAAATTGTCAGAAATTTTTACTGCAAAATAATATAAAAACATAAGTGCACATCTAAAATAGTATTTTTTATTTTTGATCTCTACCTTCCCATAGTATATGTTATTTTTTAAAAGAAATAAAAGTATTGAGAGCGTGCTTTTCCCACATTTTTTAGGAGGATGACCCTCATAGATGGCGTCATTGGTGATATTCAGTGTCTCTGAACTTCAAAATCATTTGCCATCTGTAGCACAAAGCGTGTTCTACTTCCTGGCATATTTATGTTTGCAGATGAAAACCCTGGATTCTGCAAAACTTGTCTTAAACATCCTCACAATATTCACACACTGTCTAAAAAGTTGCTTTACACATGCTAATATTTTAATTAGGATCCTTCAATAAGCAAACCAGTGTGACCTTGGTTTTGAATATGCTTTCTTGTAAGCGTGATCAAGGATAGTAAATGTAGTTCTCGGTGTATAGATAGACTGTCGGTGATACTATTGTGGTTGGGATGTAGTAAAGAATGGTCACTGAGAACATTCATTCCAATCTCTTGCCTTTCCTTTTTAATTATTTCTGCAGTAAGAGAAAGCACAGCATATGTTCTACAATTACAGTCACATATGAAGAGAATTTTGTGAAGCAAAAAGGCCTTAATATCAAACATTATTAGTGTTAACTTGTGTTTTACACATGTGTCCCATGAGTAATTGTTTTAATATTTTATTTTAAATTATTTTACATGTCTGAAATATAAGTGATTGATGATAAATTTAAAAGCAATCATAATAAAGAAAATTTGGATGCTTAAAAACCTTTGTGTTTACATTAATGTATATATTCAGAGATACATAAATGTAAATTCATATTTTCATGATTCTCTTGGTAGATTTAGATTTATTTTAACTTTTGTACTGTGTGTTTGCCTGGATGTATGTACAGGCACCAAGTATGAACCTGGTGCCCATGACAGCCAGAAGAGGGTGTTGGATCCAGAAAAACTGGAGATATGTGTACTTATAAACCACCATACGAGTGCTGAGAATCAGCTTGTGTCCACTGGAAAAAATGGCCAGGGCTTCTTACCTCTGAGTCATCACTCTGTCCTTATATAAACTAAAAAGAAAGAAAAGAAAGAAACCATAATTGAGATATTCATCTCATCATACACTACATTTGAATGTAAGCTGTATGTATATGGCCCTGTGTGTGTGTGTGTGTGTTCATTTCACTTTATCTGTGAAACCATACTCTAATTCTTCAGTTACATTTTCCATTCCATTTCCACTAATCATATTATGTACATATTTAGTGTGACATTGAAGTCTTATATGAATTGACAAAATAAATTCTGTCTATTGAATGTATTTACTGGGAAGTTCCCTAAAATCAGTTTAATTACTATAAACATATTCTAGGTAGAGCCATATTTCAGAAGAGTAATTTCATGGTTTTCATTGGCAGGAGGAAACAGTGCTTTATAATGAAAATAAGTAGGTTAATAACAAAAGTGATAGCTCAATGTTGTATGTAGTAGAAGAAAATCATCCTGTATTATCATAAAAATCAGATTAAGCATCATGTTCTTTATGTACAAATAATTATATAGTAAGAGAGTATATATTATATATAAATATATCAGTATATATGTATACATAAATATAATAAATATGTAATATATAAATAATATATGAATATATTTATAGTTTAATGTAATACAACCAATGCATATATACACTTAATTATGCAATGTATACTGACATATATGAATGTATAAATAATATGTAAATGACTTATGCAATACAAATTATTATGAAAGCAGTCAAGGTTTTTATAGTTTTCATTTGATAACTTTTCTGCAAAAAAGTTATACCTATAATTTCATACCCTTTTTCTTGAACTCTAACCATCACCCTCCCCATCCACAGTGAATCTTCTAATATTCCTGTTACAGATAAGGAAGCGAGGCTATTGTGTTTGTTCAATGCATTTCACTGTATCGCTTTACTCTCCCAAACAAAACTGTACCATTGGGTCCATCAGTGAATTGAATTGCTTTACTCTATATTTTTTCAATTGTGAAAAATTACTTGTATTCAGAGTCCTCATTTTGTTAGCCTAATTTGTATTGGTGTTGGAGGGAAATATTATAAGATCCAAGAAGCAAAATTGCATTTGAGTAACCATCTAATATATTACAAATATTATATTCATATGAGCAATATGGAACTGCTCTCAGGATTTACTTCACTATTAATTAAAAATAAAGGGCAATGAGTACCCAGATGGGTTTCATAAGTACTGTGTTATATTTTTCCTTTTTTGTTGAACTATAAAATCACAAGCCACTAAATATAATAATGATAATTGATCTATTAATTTTAATGTTCTAAGAAAAGTATACTTTCAAGATTATCCAAATAAAGACTGCATTATATTGCCTTTTAAAGTACTGTGGTTCAACATATCAATAGGAATAAAGCAAGGCTCTGTACAAGTTACATCACCAAATCCCATCTGTCTTTTATTGTTACACATTTTACACTGTTAGTTGTACCATATGCCAAAATGCTAGAGAATGTATTGGACTCTGTAACATACTTTTCCCAATTTAGGTCAGCTATCCCATAAGATAAGAATTAATTAAGACACACACACACATTCTAACAAACAATACAATTCTAATTTTGATTAGGCAATATTTAACATTAGCCTCCTTTCCCTTTCTGATAGGTATGGCTGAGTTAAAATGAAATACCAACTGAAGAAACCTTTTCCTTCACTCTGAGTGTTTGCAAGACTAAGATCTTTAAGGAAAACTTTGCTGTTCTCTTAGCAGATGGTTCCACAAGAGAGGTAGTGAACTGATGAAAAAAGATTAGAGAAAACTGCTGTATGTTCTTATTGTGTTTAATGTATTTTATAGGGTCAAGTACTTTAAACCTTCTGCAAACAGTTTCATGAAACAAAACATTAACTTCCTAGCTGGGTCTGGTGCATAAGCCTATTACCTCCACTATTAGGCCGCTAGTACAAAGCAGTACAGGTCGAGGCCTGAGGCCTGCCTGTAGGTTCCATTCACTTCACTATGATTTTAATTATAATAGCTAACTCATCGTTAAGAAACTATTTTGTTGACTTAGCAATTTCATATGTGCTAATATTATGGATATTTTTTATTATTTTATATTTTTTGAAATCTCACTGTTACTTATGCAAACTAATTTTCAGGCAGTAACTTAAGTCTCCTATTATATCCAATCAATGATTATTTAAGTAAAGTTCATCATCTGTAGTACATGCTAGAACAATTTAATCAAAATAGTTAATCTCTATGTTCCTCGTTTTTCCATAAGTCATTATATAACTGGAATGGATTATTGTCTTCTTTTCTGTGCTATCACTGTGATGAAATGCCATGTCTAAGGCAACTTACAAAATAAAGCATTGAATCTGAGCCTTTCTTGCAGTTTCAGAGGGTTAGTACAATTCCATTATGGTGGGGAGCACTGTGGCAAGCAGACAGACATGGTGCTGGGGCAGTATATGAGAGCTCACATCCAATCTGCAAGTTACATTTTGTTGAATTATTGTCCAACAGGGTCCTATAGACTTCCCCAGACATCATGGTTATTGTCAAGGCTATTGGTTGCTCTCCACAACCTGGTGTTAAGACCCTGTTGATAAAGACAACGCTACTTTTGTCATTGAACACAGAGAAGTTGAGCTGGCAACCAATTAGAAGATTTAATTTGGCTAACATTCATGGTATTGGAAGGTACTCTGCATGCTCCCAGTGGCAAAATGTAATCGTAAATATTCCCCAGTTACAAATTTACAAACTACAAAAGCAACCTGCCTGCAGGATACACTGGTGTGATAGTAACACAAATGTTATGGGAATATCCAACCACTTTCTGGTTGAATTTAAGGCCTGCTCCATGAGATTAAACCCATGGCTGACACTGCTAAGGTGGTCCAGTACTTAAGATGAGATAGACCATAAATCTAGGGGATGACCTACTACTATTATTTACTAATGGAAAATAGCAACAAAATGACTCCTCAGGACATAGGGTTAGACCCATAAATGAACGCCTCACTCAACCCTCAACAGAGAAGCTTCTTCTTGCAGTAGATAGAAATTAACACAGATCCACAACTGGACAATGTGCAAAGAGTTAGAGACTTGGGAGCACTCAGCTCCAAAATGGATATATTCATCAAATCCCCTTTTCTGAGGGCTCAAAATCAATCTAGAGGAGGATGAAAATGATTGCAAAAGCTAGAGATCATGGATGACTCCAAGGAATCAGTATCTTCCAGAAACAACAGGAATGATAAGCATATAAACTCAAAGTGACAGTTGCAATGCATACAAGACTTGATCAGGTTCAAAGCATGCAGGGTCCAAGAACTAAAGAGAGAAGTGGACGGGGTCCCATACCTAATGTGCTATTTGCAGTTGATACCATCAGGCAAATAGTGAACTATTTCTCTACAAAGAAAGTATCAGTGGGCATATCAAGCACATTCCAGGACAGACCTATGCCCTGAATGTCCAGGACAGGATGAACTGCATGTCTTTAGGGACCATTTTGTTTCATGTGGGGAGACAATTTTTTCTTTTGATTTTTCTTTTGTTTTGTTCTATTTTGATTTTTCAGAGAAAGAGCAAAGGATAACAAAAATTTTGCTATATGGTGGTATGGGGAGGAATTGGAAGAGGAGAAAGAATGTGATCAAAATATGTTATATAAGCTTTCTGAATTATAAAAAATGAGAAAAAAGAAGGTGGAAATTGTAAAAAGAAGCCTTTTTCTTTGAGAGGATCCTTCCCGCCATCCTGGTTCTAGAGCTGCATCAGTCCCAAATAAACACACAGGAGGCTATATTAATTATGAAGCTGTTGGCCTTGCTTGTTTCTTCCTGGCTAGCTCTGACTTAAGTAATTACCCCATAATTGTTAATCTATGTATTTCTCTTACCGGAGATGTTTCCGGGCTACCTACCTCATGGCGTTACTTCTCGACTCTCCTGTGTTTCTCCTTCCCAGAATCCTCCTGGACTCCTAGTCCCACCTATCTAGATTCCTATTGGCTCAACAGTGCTTTATTGACAAAGGACTTCCCCAACAGGAAAGAGGTAGAAGATATGGTGTATAACATGTCAAGTACCTTCCCATAGATAAAAAGTTCTTTCAACATTGGCAGCCATGCTTTTCACCTTTCCTGTAGAGTTCTTCATACACCACAAATGACCTGTAAAAAAATATATAAAAATCTGTCTTTTGTTTTTTAAGTCTGTTAGACTACTAAAGTTCATCTTTTCTTTATCATGTGAAATGATCTCTTGTACAGCAAAACAATAAAACAAAATGTTTTCCTTAAGGAAGAAATATTCAAAGAATCTGCCAAGAAAATGAAAGATTTCAAAATTTATGGAAGTATGCATTACATACACAAATAAACCTAGAACATATTGACATTTTGCTCAAATGTTGTCATCTCATTTAATTTCTTATGTATTATTTGACTCATTTCTATAATAAAAGAAAGATAGCAATATCACTGCAATAGTAGAGAGAGGCGAAAAGTTTTGAGTTTCAATTGAAAAACTCTGTTCTTTTTTATTATTTTTAAATTAAAAACAATGTTATTTTACATACCAATAGCAGTTCCTTCTCCCTCCCATCCTTCCTCTTCCCCCTCCATCTCCCCATCCCACCCTCGGAGAGTGTGAAGACTCCGACAGGGATCATCAAAGTCTGTCACATCATTTGGGTCAGTACTAAGGCCCTCCCCCTGTATCTAGACTGAGAGAGTATCCCTTCCACAGGGAGTGGGCTCCAAAAAGCCAGTTCATGCACTAGGAATTCAGTTGTAGAGATGGAGGAGTGATGAGCAAAGGGGTGAAAACCATGCTGAGGAAACCCAAAAGAACAGCTGACCTGAGAAAGTGGGAGCTCATGGACCCCAGAAAGACAGATGGGGAACATGCATAGGACCAAACTATGCCCTCTGAATATGGGTGTCAGTTGGGGGCCTTGGGTTGCTGTCAGTGGAACCAGTATCAATGGAAAAATTTTAAGGAAATGCTAATTAGAATTTTATATTATAACAAAAGTTATCCCATCAACTAATACAAAACATTACCATAAAATAAAAAAATGTGGCAAAAAATACTAAATCAGCACATTTAACCTTCATGTACAGCAATTATCATAGCACAAACTGGAAAATGTTCAACAAATGTAAAGTTTGAACTTTTCATGGAAATACACGTGAACTTTGCAAAGAGTGGTGAATATTGTGTGCTGTTGTACATCTTGTGTTGCATGCATTCTAATTGGAATTAGCAATAAAAACTCAGAGACAGATATTGGAGTTAAAGCTTAGTGTCCAGCCACCAGAGAGTTCTTAAACCAAAGGGGCAATCCTGTCCTCAAATTGCATCTCCGGACTGGATCTGTCCCCAACAAACCTCAGAAGCACTGAGCTCCTCCCACCTTATATTCCTCTCTATTGCTGGGATTAAAGTAGTAGGATTTCAGTACTGAGATCACCTTTGTACAAGCTGTTTATTTTAGACAGAATCATTTTCATATATGTCAGGGTGGCCTTGAATTAACAGAAATCTGTCTGCCTCTGTCTCCCGAGGGGTGGGATTAAAGGTGGGTACTACCACTGCCTGACTAGCTTTGCACTCTGATCTTCAGGCAAGCTTTATTTGCTAAATCATTAACAAAATATGGTCATAATCTTGTACTATTTTGGTGCTTTCAAAATAATTGTATATATTCATGATTACAACAAACTGAAAAAATAGCAGAGTTCTCTTAAGCCTTTTACTTAACTATAATTGTTTACTGAAAAAAATTTCTTGCCATTAACTAAACATCAATATAAACAGACTACAGTAACAACAAAACCATGCACTCAGTTGTACATATTTAAATGACTGTTTCTGTAAAGCAAAATTGTATTCTTACCCTCTAAAACTGTGCTTGAGCTCTCAGAGAGTAGGTCCCTATACATCACCTAATTTCTGTATAGTAAGTGTCTCATTTGAACTAGAAACATGCCAGTGTGTGCTCATAGAAGGAAATACTGGCTTTGAGGTACTAAATCTGATATTTCTTTTTTATATTTTCTTCTCTACAATTAATCTTCTATTATTTTTATCTTGGGAAAAGATCAAAGACAGAGCCTCTGAATATTATGATGTAAACATCATAGTCAAGAGAATCTAAAAATATGGCATACGCATGTAGTTTAAATGTTGTCACCATGAAAATGTGTGAATTATTGAGGTAATGAAAAAATATGTCACTTGTTTTGTCTGACTCTCTTTTGAATGTATACATAGAACAAGACATCACATTGTATCTTATAAATTTCAACTACCATTTTATAACTAAAATAATACACAAGCCCAATTAAACAAAAAAACAAGTACTACTGATTTAATATTGTGCATTATAATTAAAATAGCATATAAAATGTCATCACTATAACATGAGATTTTATTTATAAACTGATGAGATGTTTTCTATTTCTGAATATGAATATTGGTACTTTGAACCCTAAATATATTTTATGATTGCAGTGCCTTTTAGCTTGTATTAGCCACATTTCAAGGAATGTAATAGACATTAGTGATGAACAGACATTGCATGTATTTAGCCTTACAGGATACAAATTTGAGAAGGCTGAATTTCCTCCCAGAATAATCAGGGAAAGCAGAAGACAAAGTGGTAATAGACTGACAGCAGTTCTAAAAATCACTTTTCCAGGGATAGAGGAAACAAACAAGTATAGAGGAAATTACAATACATGTGTTTATAGATGGGAATATATAGGAGAATGTAGAGTGGTCTGCACACTTCCATACCAATATTTAGGCAGAGGCAGGAAGATTTTTATGAATTTGAGACCAGTCAGGTTGACATAGTGATGCATAGGCATGCTCAAGTTACATAGTTAGACTCCTCAAAATCTCAAAAGAAAAAAAAAAGGAGAATGTAGAAGTCAATAAAAGAACCGAAGCTCTGTAAACATAACTTCAGAAAACCAGAGACAGTGTCTAAAACTGGTTTGAAAGGGAAGACAAAGGAATGTCTTTGAGATTCTTTTCCCCAGTCAAGGACCAGCTAAGTCCAGTATTGCAGCCTTCAACACAAAAACAAAGTAGTGTGCCCTCTCTCTCTCTCTCTCTCTCTCTCTCTCTCTCTCTGTCTCTCTCTCTGTCTCTCTCTCTGTCTCTCTCTGTCTGTCTCTCTCTCATTCTCTCTCACACACACATACACACTCTCCCTCCCTCTCTCTTCCTCTCCCTACCCCTCTGTGTTTCTGTATGTGTGTGTTTGTGTGTGTGTGTGTGTGTGTGTGCTTGTTTGTGTGTGTGTGGTGTGCTCAAGCTTGTCTGTTTGAATGTTGGTTGATGAGCTTCAATAACTCTAGCTTGCTGCACAAATATTTGAGCACTCTTTCATTTGCTTCCAGGCCTAATTTCTCAACTCTGTTCAAATTTTAGCACTACCATATGTAAAGTTTTAAGCTTCCTTTTCATATATTTTAATATTATTGTTACATAAGTAGAGTAAACAAACAAGATTTAAATAGCTAAATTATGGTTTGTATAAAATTATAATGGTCAATACTTGTTGGGTCTAAAAAGGTCAGGACACAAGGCCTAGTGGAATTTCTTGAGCCTGGCTAGAGTTTACATACCTGTCTCTGAGCTATCACTTCCACATAGGAGTGACTCAGCAAAACTGCCTCTGCCCAGCTACTGCTAATGTGGTAGAATACTATTAGCCCTTATACCTCACACCACCCTGAGGTCCCCACTCACTTTCCCAACTCTATATAAGCACAGGCCTATTACAATAAAGTGAGACTATGCTGCAACAGGTTTCTAAGATCCAGTGTGGTTCTCTCTAGTGACTAGGAGGGGGGATCTGGGTCATCGACAAGCCCCAGGAAGTGATCAACCTTTCCCATAGCCCTGACTGCCAGAGGACCTGGCAAATACTGATTTACAGAGATGTCTTGATAGAGGAAGCCAGTATAGGTTTGGAGAAAGTTCTGGCAATGGAGAAATGTTCAGGGATGACCCCAACTAAGAACTTAGGCAGTGGTGGAGAGGCAGCCTTTGATGCCCTTCTGCTATAATGAGCCATACTCCTGGAATCCAGTTGTGGAGAGGGAGGAGGGATGAACAAAGGAGCCAAGATGATGCTGGAGGAACACACAGAAACAGTTGACCTGAGCATGGAGACCCTAGTCGTAAAGCTGGGGAACCAGCATTGGACTGAAAGAAGCCCTCTGAATGTGGGTACCAGCTGGGAGGCCTGGGCAGTCTATGGGACCTCTAACAGTAGGGCCAGTGTTTGTCCTTAGTCCACAAATGGATTTTGGGAGCCCATTCCCTATGGAGGGATACTATTGCAGCCCAGATACATGAAAGAGGGTCTAGGCTCTTCCCAAATTATGTGATGGACTTTGATGTGGGGGAGTGGGCTGCGGGGGTCAGTGGAAAGCATGGGAGGATGGGAAGGCGAGAGAATGGGAGGATTGATAAGTAAAATAAGATTGTTTCAATTTTTTAATTTAAATACTGATTTTCAAGTTTGAAAGAATCTAGAATCATTAAAGATACAAGCATCTTGAGATGTTTGTGAAGGATATTTTTATATCAGTTTAATTGTAGTGAGAAGATCCACCCCAATTATGGGAACACGATGGTCTGGACAGGTATATTAGAAGGAGAAAACAGGCTGAGCACCAACATCAATCAGTGTTTTCTGGATGTAGAGGTGGTGTGATCACAACCTTCTGCTTCTGTAGCCACACCTTCCCTTCCTTGATGGACTTTATTCCCAGAAGCTGTGGCACACCAGTATTTTGTCACACTAGTGATAAAAACATAAGTACTAAGTTTTTCAGGGCAATTTTGTTCTGATGTTCATTATACAATTCTTTATAATATCACGAAACCAAAATAAAATTTCATGCCTAATGTTGATGGCTCAAGCACCATATAATAAAAAGAAACAAATGAGGTTGTTTGCCATGAACTTAAATTTCATGATAATCATAATCTGGGATGGACATGGTTTATCTGCTCCTTTCTCCATTACATAAACTTGTAAAGTGTAAAATTTTGAATTTTATATTTATTCGCTAAAAGAAAACTAAACTGCTAGTCAGTCTTAGTGACTCTTCCTTGCTATTTTACATTTTACCTTGACTAAGTC